TAAATATGGAGGCTCCAGCATGGCACTGGGGAGCACAGGCCACTGGGCTGCACAGAGGTGGGAGATGGCTGTGCAGCTCCTTGCCGGGACATGGGCTCAGCGGTGAGGCTGCACCCAACCCTGACACAGCACAAGGTCCCAACCTGCCCCCAGAAACACCCCAGGGCCCTGCCCCTCTGTGTGGGCAGGCAGGCTCAGCAAGGCAGGATCCACGTGTGGGGCAATCTGGGTGCGGGCAGCTCAGTGGGAGATCTGGGTGTGGAGGGGACCTGGATGCACAGGGGCCTGTTGGGGGACTCTGCAGGGGGGTCCAGATGAAGGTGGTTGGGGCTCAGCAGTGGGGGGTCTGGGTGTGGGGGGGATAGAGCTCAGCAGGGTGTCTAGGTGTGGGAGGGTCAGTGGGGGGTTCAGATGCTGGGGGAGTGGGGATCAGTGGGGATGGGATCGTGGTGCGTGTGGTTCATCTCGGTGGTCCAAATGCAGTGGGAATGGGGCTCATCGGGAGGGGCTGTGAGGCTTGGTGGGAGGGTCTGGGTATGAGTGGGTCTGGATGCATCAGGGTTGGGTGGATGGGGGAGCAGCTCCCTGCACAGGAATCCCTCCCCCTGCAGCTGAGGAGCAATGGATGCAGGAACTGTGTGTGTGGGGAGTTTGCAGAGCTTCCTACAGCCAGGGGAAAATCTGGGGGTGGGTCTGACCCGGCCCCAGAAGCTGTGCCAGGGAAGAGGAAGTCCCAACCTCCCCAGACTAGCAGCTGAGCCCAGCACAGGGTAGGAGCCACCAGCCAGGTCTTCCTCAGTCCCGCCCCCTGCCCCACAGTGATTTACCTTTCTGCTGGCTGCCCTGGGCACTTGAAACATACTGTTGGGGAGGGTCACATGACCGCTCTTGTGGCTTCCATTTGCTTCCCCGTCAGAAAGTCATTTTTCTGCAGAGAAGCAAAGAAATCTGCCGGGGACATCAATTCTGCACATATGCAGTGGCACAGAATTCCCCCAGGAGTAATATTTCTTTTTACATGTTTTCAGTCTAACTTGCAGAGTAATTTCCTTCCATTTTGCAGTGTGTATGTTTTGTGTGATGGTGCTCTTCTGTCTTATTTTGGGGACATAATTTCAGATGCAGTAGTCTAGGTAATATTGTCGTATTACTCAGAATGCTCATACTAAAGCAGTGTTAAAAGTCAAATAAACCTGATAAAACTTTGGGCAGTCTTCGCATGGATTAAAAGTTAGATTGCCAAGTGCTTAGCCACTCTTTCTGCCTGCCAGCTCTTCTCAAGTGAGCAGTCATCCGAAGGAGCAACGCCTCCTATCAAACTAAAGATTCTTCTGAAAGATTGTTTCAAGGGGCTAAGATGTGTCTGACTGATTCAGCTCAACCGTTAACACAATAACAAAGCCAAAAAATTGCTTACAATGAAAGCTTGTTGGTTCTGAAATGCAGCTGAATTGTTAAACTGACAAGATGTCCTTACTCCTACTTCATGCAGAATTATGTTTCTAAGTAATCATACTGACCTCCGACAGATAGAATTCAAAAAAATTAATCTGACCACACAGTTTACTTACGGTAATGAAACATTGCTTTAGCTTTCCTAAAGATGAACTAATCTTGCTTCAATCCAAGTCTATATTTCATTGTGGAGAGGAATTTTGATATGGTAGAATTGAAGATGCATCACTCACCTAGCCTGTAAAATCCAGTAATTGTCATACAAAATTTAGGGTTTCAATTTTCTTCTCTGCAAAAAATTAAAAGGAAGTGCTGTCATGAAGTCTTATAAGACCAAGACTTTGCTATTTTTGCAAAATATGTTATCTAATATTTACTAATATACTATTAAGTATTGCATATAATTAAAACTAAACTGCCAAGATGAGCAAAATATATTTGTTATAGTATACTTTGTTTTTAAATATGCCTTTGTTTACTTGGAAAATTTGAGTATAGCAGTGTATTCCCAAGTCTTTAATGCAGAGTAGTACGGTTTACTGAATTTTAGTCTCTCAGACTATTGAAAAACATCATTAAATTGGCTTATTACAGTGTTCAAAAACCATTTTCATAAAGTTCTTTTAGCTTGTGTGGATTAAACAGAAACTTTTTTCTGTATTCTCTATGTAGAGAATTTAAATACTTGAGATGGGTACCATTTATATTTAAGTTGTCTTATCTGTTTTCCTCTTATTCTGACAGGTATGGCGGTTGATTACAAACTACTTATTCTTTGGGCCAGTTGGATTTAATTTTTTATTTAATATGATTTTTTTGTATCCTTTATAAAAAGTGTATCTCACCTCTTTGGAATGCAAAACTGTGTGTCCGTGTTACTGTATAAGGCTCCAGCTCTGCACCACATTGTGACCTCAGTCGGAGTTCTATGCCACTGACTTCAGTGGAGCCAGGATTTCATCCTAAATACCTAATTCAATAATTCTTTTTCAGTGAGCTTTCATTGTTTTGATCTTGATTTGGAACGCACCCTACTAGGAGTGAGAATTCATTCTGTAGTACCAGACTTTTCAGCTAAATAGCCAGTAAGACTGCTAATTGGGCAGGTATTTATTCTGTGGTGTGAATACTTGTCCACTAACTCAGAACTGGACTGAGACCATCATATTTACTTCATGCAGTTTCAATACTTGCTTGATAATCTACTATAAAAATCCTTCAATTGTGAAGGATGTTTGGGAATTCTGTATATAAAACCTATGTGAAGGTATGTAAAAAGCTGTTTTTTTTCTTAATCTTTCTGCTGAATGTGATTAGTATCACACTTTCCTGACCTACACCTTCAGATATCGTTACTGCCGAATGCTTGAGGAGGGGTCTTTCCGAGGTCGGACAGCAGACTTTGTATTTATGTTCCTTTTTGGTGGACTTTTAATGACTGTATCCTTTTTTACTGTTTTAATACAGCTAGCATTAACACGGAGAACGCAAACCCTGTGCTTTGAAAGTCAATGAATAGAGAAATACTTTTTTTGTATAATGAGGTCTGAATGACTCTATTTTAAGTGGGCTTCAAAACTTTCCAGATCTTGTAGTTACTATTAAATGTGGAATCGATCTTTTGCACTTAAATATTTGAGTTAAGGCTATAAAGATGAGATCCTAGATTGAAAGATACTATTTAACTGTACAAGTATTATCATGAGGATTGAAGGAAATGTTATTGTCCAGGTGAATTTACCCCCCCTCTCCCCACACACACAATATATAGTTGCTGTGTGTAAAATAGCTTTCTGTAATAATAAACCCCTCGTAGTGTATTTGCAGCATGGAGTATTTAAGGGGGATTAAACTATAGGTGTCTTGTTTGAGGAAATATTTAAGTTTGTTTGGAAAACTATAGACTCAAAGGTCAGGTGTGTCTGTTTTTGTTGATGCCATGATTGGCCTCCAAATTTTTTTTCTGCAGCCTATAGGTTCCCGTCTTCCGCATATTCATATTTCAGTTTTCTACAGTTGGTCATGTGCACTGATATTTTCTTTAACTGTTTGTGTCAGCTTTTTGGCTTGTTTGTGAACTTGGTTTTCCTGGGTCAGGCCTTTACAATAATGCTTGTGTATGTGTGGAGCCGCAGGAATCCCTACGTCCGTATGAACTTTTTTGGTCTTCTCATCTTCCAGGCCCCATTTCTGCCCTGGGTACTCATGGGCTTTTCATTGCTATTGGGGAACTCCATCATTGTGGATCTTTTGGGTAAGAAGCTATGAAAAATGAAATCCTTAGACTTTTTGGCCACTCCATCATAAACTACTGGTAGGTAAAGTCTCTTCTCCCACTACTTAGTACCTCTTCCTGCAAAGAGAAAGGGGTTATCAAGCCATGTTGGCTATTTATGCTTTGATGCACTACTAGAGAGGTAAGTAGATATCCATAAGCTTCCAATGACAGGGTTGATTATGGTTTCAGGATTAGCCTGGATGGTTTAGGTGATGGATCTCTTAATCTTTTCTCTCTCATGAACAGTTCCCCCTTTGTGCTGCTTCCTCTGAGAGTCACTTCTTCTAATCAGGTGTGCGTATTGGGAATCTTTAGTTTCCACACACATCAATAATCCTTTGTACTGGCCCCACTGGTATTTCAAAAGAAAGTGCTGTGACTGCAGGACAAGGATTTTCGGAATTATCTCAGATCCAGAAGCGCTCACTGCACACAGCTGAGCAGGAATCGGGCCACCCTTCTAGAGAAGAAACTGGGTTGGGGAAGTCTTCAGAGCTGGAGCGATGGTCTGGGATTGGCTTATTGCATGAGTGATTGTATCAGATCCAATACTCTTCCTGGGATCTGAGAGGTTTTACTGCATAACCCTGTTCCAAAGGCTACCTCTACCTGTCTTGCTCAGTTTATCTTTATCTTGTCATCTGACAAGTATTTGTAACTTTGGTATTTCTGATATTTCAACTTTTTTTTTAAAAAGACTTGTTTTCCAAAGTGTTTTTAACAACTTATTGTCTGATACATTCTATATTTCTTTTGGAAGAGGAAACAGTCCTCCACATTAAAGACTTCTGAAAAAGTTTTTGTTCTGAAATGGGACGTTAGCTGAATAGTGAGTTTTATACTCTGAGGGATTAAGGTGACAAACCTGTAAGTAAAAGAGTCCGCTCATTCAATTGGTAGTGTGTGTATTAACCTCTTTCATATAGGGAAAAAAATTAAAAGCAGCAAGGAGGCCACATGGTAATTTTTTGTTGTGACCTAATTGTTGTACATGCTCTGATGTACAGAGTACTGTGTTCTACCAGTTTTCATTGTTCTTGTACGTGGTGGCATACTCTGTGTTGTAACGTCTCCAAGTAGTGCAGTGTTTTGCTTCTGCATTACTTGGAGAGAGCCAGATATCCATGGCTGACTGTGGACATGAGACTTAATTGTGTACGGCAGCTTGCATTCTGACATTTTTGTCAGTACAAATGAAACCATACCACCAAAGTGTTTAGACAGTTGTGATAGACTTTTCCTTGTATTTATATGACTCACTATGCTATAGATCTCTTCTAGTATGGCATTTAATTCTAATATTTTATATTGCGGTGAGTATGTACCATGCTACTTCAGTTCCTTTTAACATCATGCTATTTACAAAGGGCATCAAACACAGCTTGTCTTTTTTTATTTTATAAAACATTTAGTGAAACATTTTAAAGGTGGTATAATGGCAATATTGAAAGTCACCAGTTCAACTTCAGTTTTCTTTTTTATTGATTCTAGGGATCGCAGTTGGACACATATATTTTTTCTTAGAGGATATCTTTCCTAATCAGCCTGGTGGTGGACGGCTTCTGAAAACACCATCTATTTTGTAAGTGTTACCTTCTAATTTGGAGCACATGGACAAATGTGTTTGTACACAATGTTTTTTTTAAACTAATTCAAATACAAGTAAATTTGGAAATTTGAGATAAATGGCACTGAGTTCATCATACTGTTCCATTTGCTGTAGTCGTCACATGGGTGTTACAGTTGCCAGAGGGGGAGAGGATCCAAGAGGCACTCTTAAGACATGGTCTAACTTCTGAAAAGGTCCAAGAACTTCTGTGCCAACTAAAATCCATAATACAGTTTGCCTGTTGGTGGCACCAAATATATCTGAATCTGTTAAAAGAAACCCGTTTTAAGACAAAGTGTCAGAATGAGTTCAGAGTGCAAAATACACAAAATGAGTGAGAAGCTTAATGTGGCTAATATTTTACACTTAGGTAGCTACTCCCTTCCCTCCCCACCATCCAAAAGGATCACAAAATACATGACAGACTATGTGCTGTTCACACGGTGCCATTCATATTCTTTCATCTCTTGGGCAGAGAATAGTAACCAACTGGAACACTGCACACTAGAATGGATATGGGGAACTTTCCTGAAGGATGGGGTAAACCTCTTGAAAATTCTCTGTATAGAGCAGACAAGACCTCATTTTTTAAGACCGCAAACTGCCTGGCATTCTTGCCTTCAGAATGATGTATTGCTGAGTTGATCCTGTCTAGATTTGATTTCTAAACCTGATATTTTAAACAAGCAAGGCCTTGTGTACATGGGAAAATTGACTGGTATAGCTGTTTAGAATATGTCTCCCAGGTGGACACTCTTCTGGAATAAAAGTGATTTTTATTCTGGACTAATTACTTTGCTTTGATAGCTGAGTAATTATTTTGGAATAAAATCACTCATTCCAGAATAGAGTGCTCACACAAAGGAGTTATTGCAGGATAACTAAATTATACTGGAATAGCTGGAATGGAATAGTTATTCTGCAATAGATATAGCTATGGTGGTCAATTCCCCCCGTATAGATGGGGGTCTAAGCTATCAGCCATTGGGAGGTTCCCTTTGGCTCACCTGGTAGAGTGGATGCCTGTGGACCAAGTGGGGGACAGTTCTTGTTCTATGATTTCATCCACAGGGCTTCACTTAAGATCCAGTCTAGTGTCTGATCACCAATATTTTGGGACTTCTTGAGTCACTTTGTTCAGAAGACTGGTTATGAATCCTGTCATGTCCTAAATTTGTGAATGTTCAGACATAGCAATCTTCTTAAATGTGTCTGCTGTAGTCTTGTCTTCAACTCGGTATTTTCCATCCTCCCTTTTGAAAATATTTCAGAGTGTCGTGTCACTCCTTTTGTGAACATAACATCATATAATTCCTTTAGCTATTTTAGTGTCAGACAGGGTTTGCCTTACATAACAGCACAAACTTTTATACTACTGCCAAAGACTGAAAGCTAAATTTACTCTCACTTTCTTTGCTCAAGTTTTGATCTTGGGTATAATTTTTTATATCCAGTCTAATTCCTTGTGTTTGTAAATTACTTTTTTGGGCACTTGGTAAACAGATACCCACAGAGGTGAAATCTCTCAAACTGGTTTGATTGGCAGCATAATCTACAGGATTAAGTATGATTTTGGGAATTGGGAAATCCTGAATTGTAATTCTGACTCAGCTACAGACTTTTCTGTTGATTTTTAACAAGTCAACCTCTCTGTACTTTAGCCTTTCAACTGTGAAATGGAGACACTTGCCTATCTCCGATATATTATGAAGATCAGATGTTTGCACATCTCTCCATAGATATGAAGAGATATTTAGTACTACACTGACCTATTTCTTCTCTGAATACTGTTCTTTAAACGTTAGCTGTAAGAAATTCATCCTTACATCTTTTAATAACGCTAATTGGAAGCCATAACTATTCTATCCCATCATTCTTACTGCTTCATTTATATGCACAACTTCTTCCTTGCTTCCAAATAGTTTCTAGTGCCACCCTACAATAATTTAATTCTGAATAATAATAGACATGTATGGCTGGAAGGGATCTCAAGAGGTCCTCTAGTCCATCCCTCTGCACTGATGCAGGACCAGATATATCTAGGCCATCTCTGACAGGTGTTTGTGTAACCTGTTCTTAAAAACCTCTAGTGATGGGGATTCTACAGCTTCCCTTGGTAACCTATTCCAGCATTTAGCTGTTATTCTAGTTAGAAAGTTTTTCCTGATATCTAACCTATATCTCCCTTGCAGATTAAGCCCATTACTTCTTGTCGTACCTTCAGTGACTATGGAGGACAATTAATCATCCTCTTCATAACATACCTTGACGTATTTGAAGACTGTTACAAGGCCCCCCATCATCTTCTTTTCTGAAGACTAAACATGCCCAGTTTTTTAACCTTTCCTCATATGTCAGGTTTTCTTAACCTTTTATCATTTTTATTGTTCTTCTCTTGACTTTCTCCAATTTGTCCACATCTTTCTTAAAATGTGGTGCCCAGAACTGGACACAATACTCCAGCTGAGGCCTCACCAGTGCTGCGTAGAGTGGAACAATTACTTCCCGTGTCTTACGTATGACACTCCTGTTAATATGCCTCAGAATTATATTAGTTTTTTTGCAACTGCATCACTTTGGCTTAGTTCAATTTCTGATCCACTATAACCCCTAGATCTTTTTTAGCAGTACCTGTTGCCTAGTCTGTTGTTTCCTGTTTTGTATTCAAAGAAAGAAATTAGGTTAGTCTGGCATTTGTTCTTGACAGATTCATGTTGCCTATTGCTTATCATTTATTCATGTTTCAGATGAACCCATGACATTGAAATCCCCTCATTCTCTATGCATTTTTGTCTGACTTTCTGTGTTTGTATACCTCTCCCAAAGGACTTCCTCTGATTGTAGGATTTGATAAATTGTATAGTTAATTGTTTCACCACACTTTGGTTCGTTATGAAATATAGTCAAGAGACCAAATAACCTATATCAGTCAGGTTTATTGCCATAATTGCATAATAATCTAGTAAAGGAAAAAGGTTCAATACAATACCAATCTCTGGGAAGCATCTCATGCAGCATTGTTACATGCAGCTTACACAGAAGATGTGCTTCCAAAGTTGCACTCCTAAAGCTATATTTTTATACCCACCTGTTTATAAGTAATAGGTATTGAGTACATAATCTGAAACTAGATTTAACCAATCATCTTTCTATCTTCTTTTTCTGGTAACATGGTGTGCCCCTTATCTTTGTTCTGAACACGAGCATGCCACATACCAAGGGGTGTGAAGGCACGTAGGTTGGTACCAGGGTAGAACAATCATATATCTTGTCCTTTTCCTTTGGGACATTCCAGTAATGGCTTGTGAGAATAACTCCCTACTTGTTTATGGTAACACACTCATATGTCCTGATATTGACATTTTTCCTATTTACTTAAGCCAAAGCTTACTTCAGCTAATGCAAGGTGTTATGGGATACTTGACATGGATGAACAGAATTGTGAGGAGAGTATAATACACAGTTAACATAACTTCCCAACACTTCATATTAATACTCTGCCTAACATGTGTATTGGCTAATGGGGGAGTTTTGCCCTGTTTTTCCTATGGCTAGTTTGAAGTCTCTCCATGATTTTCTTCTTTTCCTCCATGTCCTCTTGTTTCATTGCTCAGTACTGTTCACTCATCTGTTTCCATGCAGCTGACTGATGTTTTCTTTGGCTGCCACTTCTTGTTCACTAGTTGAAAATTTCCCCCTCAGACCAGCAAGTACAGTATGCCCCTTTGTGCTTAGCTGTAGCTTAGATGAATTTGGAGCCCATTTTTGCTCTTGTTCCCTGAGCTGCCCGTACTTGGCTTAGAGGAGGGTGCCTCTGCAATTTGAAACTGCTTTTAAGGTTAGCTCATATGAAAAGTACAAAGTTTCTCCTTATCTGTTTTGAGTCTTGTTGTTTCAACCACTGAGCATGTCAGTTTCAGATTCATGCATATGTCTTTACTTCAAATTCCTTCAATCCAGTTGTGCTGTTCATATAATTTTCAGTAGAGCGAATTAACGGTGGCTTTGGTTCACTTGATCAGCATGAAACTAGGTGGCAAGGAAGACAGTTTTTGAATGATTAGCTGTTACTTCAAGAGACTCTCTGCTGTATTTCACATAGGAACACCAGAGGTTGACATAAATGTGGCTTTTTTTCTGGTAGCCACCTCAGAACCAGAAAACAACGGTGGTTCTTAGAATATGGTGTTCATGTAGATCCCACTCTAAGTGCACATGTGTGTGAAATTAGAATATTTTGAATAGCAGTATCCATTGGCTTCCGTTTATGCCATGCATGTCCTTTTGTCCACACCCAAAGGAGCCACAACCATCCTTCAGTTCCATTGCTAAGTCAGAATCCCAGATAAAGAGAACGGCACAAAAACAGGGTTGCAGGGTGGGTTGTGGAATCCATATGGGCAACAACAGTAACTAAGAAATATAGTTACTAAAGGTAAGTAACCACTCCATTTTGGTAGTAACGTAATGATAACTATAAAATTGTTAGTTGACCAAACTAAAATGTGTGGAAGACTGAGATGTTTTTATCTCAGGAGTATAAAGAGCCACTATACATAATCCTGTTCCCTTGACAACTGATTTAACACATGGCACAGAGTGAGCTAGGAAGACAGGAACTCCTGTTGTTAGGGCAATAGCATGTTGTAATAGTGAATCATGTATGGAAATCAGATTTGACAGTCAGGCTCTTTCCTCCAATCAACATGCCTACCACTCCCTCCCTCACAATTATTCATCCTCCATCTTTTCATTTGACAAATAGGACCTACTCAAACCTTCTTAGTTTTTTGTTTGCTTAACTTAATACTTACTCTTCATCCTGTCCAGCATGGAAACCAGCAAGTAACCTTAGAGCTTCAAGTTGATTCCAGGCACCAATCAAAAAGAAGGCATGTTGGGATTGCTTTAAAATCTTTCTGCCTGGTGACCTGAATCCTAGGGCTTGTCTACACTAGAAACGTAAGTTGACCTATGTTAGGTCAGCTTACAACCACTGCGGTAATT